TCCTGCTGAGCTGTGTGACCTTGGGAATGGTTACCTCACCACTCTGTGCTCAAGCCTCCTGACCCGTGAAATGGAAACAACAGTACCTCTCTCCCAGGGCTTGGAGGACCATGGATTCAACGTCATAATACATACGTCAACCAGCCAGGAGACTGCTGGGCAGGCCCTCAATAAAGAATGATTGTAATGATGACGATCACACTTAAGAGTGGAGAAACTGAGGAATAAGAAAGTAACTTGGCCTGTAACTAGACCCTATGGCTCATGTCAGAGCTGTGTTATATGAGCTCAATCTGCTCTCCGGGACTCTTTCCAGCAGAGTTCTGGGTAAAGGGCTAAGATTCTCACTTACCCTCACCCCTCTGAGAGCAGGCAGTGAAATGGAGGATTGTGCCCAGGCCCAGCTGATCACCTGATCACCTTTCCTCAGTGGCAACCAGAGGGGAGCCCCTCAGCACCCTGAGGGGCTGCCTGCAGGCTTGGGCTGGCTCTCAGCCATACATGCCTCTCTCTTACCAAAGATGTCACACTTTGAGAAATCCCATCAAGGGCAAAATGGATTTGGGGAGCACCTTACCGGTAAAGGTGGCAGTGAATGTTCCCCATGACCACCAGCTTGGAGGTGGTTGCCCATGTGTGCCTATTGTCCAGTGGGGCCAGAGGCCCAAAGGCAAATCCTCACTATATGGTCCCCCTGAGCCCCTCTGTTTGTCTACAAACAGCCCCTGCCTATAGAATAGCAGAAATAAACTAATTGACTGAGAGCAGCCCCCCATACCCAGGCTCAAGCACTTTATTCAGGACAACTCCAGTAGAAGCCATTGACCCCCTCACCATCCAAGAGGGAAGAGGCACCAGGCCCAAGGGCTTTAGGAGAGTCCCCTTCACCAGTGTCACCCCCAGCCCCGCAAGCCCAGAAACACCAGTTCAACAAGTTTCCCAAAGGACCTGGAAAGTCACAGAATGAGGATAACATGTTCAAAGCAATTATTTCAAATTAGGAAACAGTTCTGCCTCTCACTGTTCTAGGGCTGTACACACCCTTGTAGCCCTCTATTTATTTGTGACTCTCTGCTAGGCAAGGCTATTTTCTGAAAGTGAATGAGATGTGTGTCCCTCAAAAAGGATGTCCAAGATCAAGGGACTATGGTCTGGGCCTGCAGCCACTACATATACCCATTCAATAATCCCACAAATACCTAATGAGCACCTACTATAAGCCACATGCTGGAATGGTGAAAACTATCCTTCTGTCAGCAAGAGTACATTCACCGCCACAGACCCTTCTCAAGAACCTAGTATTGCCAGGTGGCACCACCCCACGCACTGAAAACAAAGTTGTATAAGGCTTAAGCCTGACCCTGTAGGAACTCAGTCCAGAGCTGGGGTGGAAAGAAGGCAGACCCTGGGCAGTCTGCCCTGCCCTTGCCTACAGCACATTAGGCAAAGGAGGTGTTCATTTCCCTATCTCCTCTGGAGAGGGGAGGCTGGTCCAGGGGCTGGGGGCCTCAGGTGGAACAGGCCTAGACTTAGCCCAGGTCTGAACCCACATTCAACTTTCTGCTCCAGCCTGACCTTGTCTGTCTGTAAACTTAAAGGTTTTTTAAATTACCCTGAAAGTTACTCAGTGCCTGGCACACAAATGCTTAATAATAATGTTTAAAATAACAGAGACCACCTTTATTGAACCCTTTCCAGAGCACCACGTGGAGCAAAATAGTCTGCAGGGGATGGGCTAGATCCTCCCCTAAAAGCCTCAAGGGTAAGTGTCAAGGTTTCTGCCCAGACCTTCTCCCTACCAGGCACTGTTCTGAATGTTTGAAGTTAATCAACTCATTTTATTCTTCCCAAAAACCCAATGAAGGAGAGGTATGATTGCTCCCGTTCTACAGATGAAAAAACAGAGGCTTAGTATCTTCCCGGCTGTGTGACCTTGGACAAATCACTAATGCTGCGTGCCTCAAATCCAAAGGGCTCGGAAGCAGTTTCGTGAAGGCACCGCTGCATTTGGTGAATGAATGAGCAACCGAATCAGGCAGGAATCCCTCCTAAGGCCAAGAAGGCCACAGCACTACCCGCGGGACCTCTTTTTCCAAGGCCTAACCTTCTGCCCAGCCCCCAGCTCCGGCCCTGGTCCCTGCGGCCTAAGTCGACTGTCAGCCTCCCATTCCGCCCGGAAGGTGCTGGCAGGCGCAGACAGTGCCGGGAGCCAGCTTCTCCGGGCGTGGACCCGACAGGGCGTGCAGGGCCGGGGGCGCGGGACCCCGGTCGTCACATGAGCTCATCCCCGAGGCGACAGCGTGGCCCGCACAGGTCCGTGAGCCCAGCCCGGCGAGCTTAGGTGGCGGGCGGGTCCCTGCTCGACCCGCGCTGGCGGGATCGAGGGCCAGAGGTCGCCTCCAAGGAAGGTCACCTAGACCTGCGGCGGGCGGGGCCTCCACGCGGCGGCCCGTGCCCTTCCGCCCAAAGGTCCCCGCGGGTTTTGGTCCCCAGCCGCAGGCGCCTCCGGATGTCCGGCCACCCGCTCCCCAGCCCGGGCCTGCTCGCCGCCCGCCCGCCCCGCGAGGCCTGCTCTGCCAGCCGCTGACCCGCCAGGCCCTGCCGGGCCGCTCCGGTTCCCTGCCCCGGCCCGGCTCTGGGCCCCTCGCCTTCACCCGCTCCCCGTCCCATCTCCTCCCCCAACTCCCCACGGGCCGGCCCGCGACTCGAGGCGCAGTCAGAGGCCTGGCCCCTCTCCGCTGCGCCTACCTCAGAAGCGGTGGCAGTGGGCTCCGCGGCTGCTACGGCGGGGGCTGCAGCGTGAGGAACAGAGCCAGCGGCGGGGCCGAGGGCGGGGCGGCACAGACGGCGGCGGCGCAGACCCGCCCCGACCCAGCGAGGCCGGCCCCGCGAGCTCCGCCCCCTGGGCCCTCCCGGGACACCGCCCGGGTCCCGACCGGGTTCGCTTCCAGCGCCTGAGCCGCGCGCGGGCCTTTCGGGGCCCTTCGGTACCCGCGGCGGACGCGTGTGCCCACGGGCGAGTGCGGACACGCGTGATTGCCTGCGTGCGGCCGGGCACTGGGCGGTGGGATGGCGTGGGGCTGACGTGTGCAGAGTTGTGTGCGCGCGCAGGGACAGGCGTGTCGCCGCCCGCGCGGGCCGACCTTGCTGGAGGGCCCTCCTGGCTGAAGCATTCGGGGAGGGAGGGGTCTTCCGGTTAGCTGAGCAGTGGCCGAGGTCCCCTGTGCTAACAGAAGACACGCGGGGACCTGGGCCTCCTGCTTGGCCTCGGAGCTGGGAGACAACACCCCTCTCCCGGGAGTTCATGTGGCGGGTGGCTGGACCAAGGCCTGGCCTGGGTGGACGAGGTGACCCCCGGGTCCTCCCCAGCAAAACCTGCTCAGGGTGTTAAATCGGACACCGAGGCCCTGAGGGCAGTCACAGACCCGGCGAGGGGAATGGGCGCCCAAGGCGGCGCGGATACAGAGTAGCGCCCCCGGATGCTGCTCCTTGGCCCTCGGCCCTCGGCTCCCGGCTCCCGGCTCCAGACACAACGTTTCCGGCGCGTCCGACCCTCCGTCTTGCAGCTCCAGGCTTGCAAATCCCTGCAGGGGCCTGGAACTGAACGCGCCGAGAAAACCCCTCAAGATGAGTAGACAGTTTACCCCTATAGCGAAGCTGCTAGCAGCCATTTTCGGAGCATTTGAGAAGTGAGAAAAGTAAATTGCCTCTTGCAAGAACGTCCTCTGCTGGGTCCTATGGCGCGCGGACCAGCCTAGGGCCCCTCGGAAACCCGCGTTCAGACAGGGCCTGCCTGCCCGCGGGGCTCGGTTAAAGCCTGCGCAGTCTCCCCGCTACGCCTACGAGACCCACCCCTAGCGGACTTAGAGAATTAATGAATGCCTGGCTGGATGAAGATTCTGCACATCCTTCGCCTTTGGCCAAAAAACGTTCTCCAAGGCTTGAGGCGTCTAGGGCCCCTTGGAGGAGGTGCCAGTCTACAGAATCAGGACACGCGCTCGCAAGCAGTTGTGGCACAAATTAGAGGAGTAAGCAACTGGGGCGTTCAAAGAGGCAATCAGGCCAGGCTGCTGGAAAGAGGCAGCAGCTTCAATGAGGAAAGTGGCAAGTAGTATTCCAGTGCCCTAGGGGTGTTGAGAAAGAAAGGAGCTTATGGTGGGGGAACGGGTGTGAACAGAGTGCCCTGCCCCTGTAGGGGCTCCGGTCTGACTAAAAATGTGAGGAGGAGCTCCTGGACCCCTTGAGGTCCTGAAGAGTAGAAGACTAACACCAGAACTCTCCCCAGGCCCATGACCTGCTCCATGACTGACTTGAGACTCGGAGCTCCCCAACCTGGCCATCCCCACCCCCATACAAAGGCCCCAGCCCACTCCTGGAAAGCCACTGAGTTACCGACCAATGCAGTGAGGAAGAACTTGGGAGGACAGGACCTCAGAGAGGTAGGTAGGACCAGTTGGCTCTTCTAGAAGATGCAGCTTCAGAAAACTCACGAGCTAGGAGCAGATGCCTGCCCAAGGTCAGTAAAGCCCAGGTGTGACACTTGGACCAAATGTCCAAGGTACTCCCTCCCCTCCAGCACCTCCCTGTCAACTCCCCTTTCACTGACCTTCAGCCTGGGAGAGTTCCCCATGCCCCACCTTCTGTGGGTCCCTTCTGGGGCTCCCCTAGGTGCTACTCTTGAAACAGGAGGGAAGGGGTCAGGGCACAACCTCTGAAAGAATGACATAGCTCGAGGACATGACATAAACTGATTAGAACCAAATGGGTCCAAGATGGCGGACAAGTTGACTTCCACTAGACCTTGAGCCTCAGTATACACTCACTGTAACACATCAGCAAGCTAAATGACACACCCATAGACGCTGTGACAGTTCCAAAACAGACCTTAAGGATCAAAAAGTGGTCGGTGGCCCAATTCCTGGAAATCCCCGCCCCTTCCTGAAATAGCTGGAATATTCCTCCCACTCATTAGCCTATGAAATTACCCACCCCTATAAAAACTGACAACCCCATACCCTGGTGCCTTTTCTCACCTTCTGAGATGGCCCACACTCTGTCTGTGGAGTGTGTGTCTCCCTAAATAAATCCACTTCTTACGTATCACTTTGTCTCTCACTGAATTCTTTCTGCGATGAGACACCAAGAACCTGAGCTCCATTAAGTCCTGAAACCAGGTGTGTGATCTCAGTTGAAAGACTGTGGCTTTTGGCCGGGTTCAAGTCCCAGCTGCGTGGGTTTGAGTCCCAATCTGAGGGGCACAGTTTCACTTTCAGATTAATCACCTGAGTGCCCTTTGAGTCACTTACTGGCTGTGTGACCCTGAGCAAGAGGCGCAACCTCTCAGCTTCAACTTCAGAGGGTTGTGATTTTAAAATGAGACACATACAAGTAAGCACTCAGAAAACAGTGAAGGAATCAGGTAGGCCACGGAAGCCTCAGGACCTAGTGCTGACCCCTCCCGACCGCAGCCCTGAGGGAAGTGCTGAGCAAAGGCAGCCTGTCCTACCAGGCTTACCACACCACCAAGAGCCACACTGCCAGCCCTGCCTCCACTCCTTCTGCTACAGCTGATTGGGCTAGGGATAGAAACCTGACCCAAGAGTGGCCAATCAGGTCCTCTCTTGCAAACTAAGAAATCCAGGTCAAGTCTAAAAGTTTTCATTTGGGGGAATGACCCTTCTCTTTCTCCTCTCAGTACACAAGCTTTAAAGGAGCTGACTCCATCCCTAACTCCAGGGCTGTCCTCGGGGTGACCCTGGCTCAGCCTGACCAATCAGAGTACTGCACTCCCCTGGCTCTAGGGATGGACCAGTGAGACCCGCCCAGACTTCCTGGGTCTGCTGAAATAAAGATTTTCCCTAAAAATGAAGCCAGCCCACAAAAGAGACAGAAACCAGGTCCTGGGAACATCTTGCTCCAGGATCTAGCCCTGCCTCTGACTACCCCCTGTGCTTTCCAGCTCTCTGAAATGAAAGATTCCCTTTTTGCTTAGTCCAGTTTGGATTAGGTTTTCTTCCAGGTCCTAACTCTGTTCCTCTCCTCTGTGCAAGCAGAGCAATGTACAACATCCAGGAAAGAGGAGATTTTACTTTCATTTTTAATATTGGAATGGGTGATCAGTGTAAGTATACATTGTCTTCAGTTTCTTTAATCAGTGTCTTATTGTTTTCCAAGTATAGGCCCTTTACCTCTTAGATTTATTCCTAGGTATTGTATTCTTTTTGATGTTTCTCTGATAGTTCATTGTTAGTATATGGAAATGCAAGAGATTTCTGTATATTAATTTTGTATCCTGCAACTTTACTGAATTCATTGATGAGTTGTAGTTTTTTGGTGGCATCTTGAGGATTTTCTATGTACAGTATCATGTCATCTGCACACAGTGACAGCTTTACTTCTTTCTTTCCAATTTGGATTCCTTTTATTTCTTTTTCTTCTCTGACTGCTGTGGCCAGGACTTCCTCAATATGATTTCTTAATACTGTCTTTGTCAAGTAACCAGAGCTTGAAGATGAGGTCCATGAAAATAGAAATGGAAGATGGAAAATGGAACAGATATATATATATATATATATAATTCTTTAAAAATATTCTACTTGTGACCAGCATCAATGAATTGGATTATAAAGCTGAATTGTTATAAAACTTAAACTTTCCAACCATTTTTCAGGCTAGAGACTGGGTAGGAGGAGTCAAGACTGAGGATTTGTGGTCAAGAATCCCAGTCCATACTCCCTACGATGTGCCCCGTCACTCATTATCCAGGAAAGGACTTGACCAGGCCTCCAGGTTCTGAGTGACACGGAGAGCAGAAATCAATTGGAAAAACAAGATGGTAACCATCCCAAGATAAGAACAATAAAAGTTTTTCTCCCCCATATCCAAAACCATGAGGTGTCCTACAACTAAAATAGTTCCAAGAAGTTCCAATATCATAACCATGGTGGTGGTGGTGGTAGTGTTTATATATACACTCAAAGACAGAAATTGAACACAATTATATTTCAGTATTACTGCAACCACAACTTAGAAACCTTAAAAATAGTAGACAGAATAATGACCTCCACAAGAGGTCCTTGCCCTCATCACACAAGACTTCCATGTCAAAAGGAACTTAACAGGTGTGATTATGCTAAGGATCTTGAGATGGAAAAATTAACCTGGATTGCCCAGTTGGGCCCACAAGGATCTTTATAAGAGCCTCAGAGTGAGAGAAGGTGATGTAACAACAGAAGAAGAGATCAGAGAGAAGGAGAGAGAGAAGCCAAAAGATGCTACATGGCTGGCTTTGAAGATATAAGAAGGGGCCGTGAGCTACATGATGCAGGCAGCCTACAGAAGCTGGAAAAGGCAAGGAAATGGATACTCCTTTAGAACCTTTAGAAAGGACCAGCCTGCTGATACCTTAACTTTAGGCCTCTGAGACTGATTTTGGACTTCTGACCTCTAGAAATGTAAAATAATAAATCTAAATTGTTTTAAGTCACTCAGTCTATGGTAGTTTGTTATGACAGCAGTAGGAAACTAATACATGAACCTTTGGAAGACATTAAAAATGATTTGTTAGAATGCTGTCAGCTCAGGCTGCTATGTGTAACAGAAGACCAGGTGGCTTAAAGCCATTTATTCCTCACAGTTCTGGAGGCTGGAAAGTCTGAGATCAGGGTGCCAGAATGATCGGGTTCTCGGTGAGAGCCCTCTGCCTGGTTATATCCCAACATGGTCTTCCTTGATGTGTGCAGGCAGAGAGATCCCTTGTCTCCTCTCCTTTTTATAAGGGCATTAATCCCATTGTGAGGGCCCTACCCTCATGA